TCCCTGGCGAAATCCAGCTTGTTCTACAGGTTGGGCTTCATCCAGTGTCCTTGATATGTGAGCGAGAATAGTTCCGAAGATCCTTCCTATCGCCCTTCTTATGAAGCAGGATTGTTAGGGAGGTTCTGCACTGGTCGGGGATTCTTTCCTTTTAAAGGTAGGATGTTAGATATTCCGCAAGTACCTTGTGTAGGCGATATCCTTCAGCTCTTAAGAGGTCGACCGAAACATGGTCCGGTCCCGGAGCCGTGGCTGCCTTCATTGTCTGGACTGCGGCGCGCACTTCAGCAGTTAGAATTCTTGGTGGTACGCAGATCTTCTTTTCCAGCTTTCGGCTGAATCGCACTTTTCGAAGGAGGCGGTGATCTGAGCCATTACTGAAGGATGGTACCACTGAGACGTCCTATAAGCACCACCTTCGGTTGGTGAGAATGTGATCGATCTCCGCATGAGTCGTACCGTTGGGTTACTCACATGTCCACCGCCGGTGTTCTTTCTTCATGAAAATGAGTTGCCATGAAAAAGTCGTGCGGCGGATAAGAGCCTAGCAAGACGGTTACCATTCTCATTCCGGAGTCCCGATTCAAATCTCCCGATCCTGTGCTCCTCTTCTTTTGTTATCCCGAATTTCGCATCGAAGTCACCCAAGACGAACTTATAGAAGGAGTTTTCTTTGTGGATGACTTCCTCCAAATCCTCATAAAAAGCATCAAGTTCCGAATTATTAGCTACTGATGTTGGAAAATAGCAGTTGATGATAGTGATGGCTTTCTGATGCAGAGGACAGAGCCGAAGGATAGCCGCGAGGTGATAGGATCTCGTGCGAATCGACAAGATGGACATCAGATGGGTGTACGACAAGTCCAACGCCTCCACGTTCCGTGTTGGAACCTTTTCACCACGAATGATGAGTGTGCCATCACTCAGCTGCCTCGCGTCCGTCTTCCTGGACTTTGTTTTCAGCAAGGCGATTACGTGGTAGTTGATGCCCCTGCAGCTTCAAAAAGGGCGTGAAGATCGGGATAGTGGAAAGACTGTATGGCGAGTCGTTGACGTTTCCTTTTGGTCCGAAATCCATGGCGTCCTGTGCAACCTGACGCTGA